CCCCCCTCAACACACTCAAATATCGGTTCTGGGACAACTGTCCCAAGAACAACTGCCCCCCTCACCCCAGCCCCTTCCGAACAACTGCTTCGGAGACAACTGCCCCAGAGAATTTGCCTAAAACCGATTGTGACGAAGAACTTCTTTTCACGGTTAGACACAGTCTTAGCTGAGATTCGGCCGTGGACTCGAGATGAAGCTCAGATAAGACAGTGTCTAACCTTACCTGAGGTTTAGTCCAAGCATCGGTCTGAGCCTGAGCATCACCCCAACCTAAACGTAAGCATCAACCATAGCCTCATCAAGCTGCCATCAGAAGATGATGGAATGCATTGCAATACTCACGAATTATGCGATTATTGAAAAGAACTGCGAAACTGATCAAAATCAACTACACATCCGCCAGCTTTTCCGTTTACAGTCGACATTGAAACTGCTTATTGGTTCAGGAAGTAGAAAAAAAGCTCTAAGGATTTCAATTATGCCCATTAGTAGACCAGCCTATGGGTCGAACGGTTCGAAATTAGAGGCCGCATTAAGTTTTTTACTTCCGGTTCATCACGGAAGATGAAATGCTTATATTGATGAATATACTCAAACAAATATATGGCGTAGTTAGAAGGAAAATGATTCAGGCATCATTCTTGCCTGATAAAGCAATCAAAAACCTGTCTCATTTTTCTTCATACCGTTATAATTCACTATTACTAGCATCAGTATTATTGTCTTTATTGTTACTACTGTTATTATCATTCTTGTCTGATGAACACTTATAATACGATATTGTTTTTGGAGTTGTAGAAATATGTCCGTAATAATTCAGCTGATATGACTTCTTCATCGTTGAAAAGGGCCTACTCGACTTCTATTGTTTTGGTGGTGCTGCTAAGCAGTACTAGAACTTAGTATAATAGAACCTTTTAGTTGTTGGCAAATATCTAATAAAAGTTACGTAAAGATTTCGCAAACACGTCACTCAATGAGGTCGTGTATTGAGTTAAATTTACATGTTTGTTTATATGAATATAGATTGAATAAGCACATGCCGAAGGTTTAAACAAAACGAAACGAAACAATAGCAAACAAAGAAAGACTTAAAATAAACAAAACAAAATTCGAACGAATATGGCCGATCGAGATTTTCGTCATCTGCGTCACCCAATCCATTCATCCGCTCATCCAACTGCTATTGGTCTTGATCAACGGAACCCACGGGAATAACGCATTTAAGGCCTATGTTTATATCCAAATGTCTGTCAATCTTCGAGGATTCAAACGCAAATTTCGATTTTCTTATTGTTTTTTAGGTATTATTATGATCAATAATAACAGCGAGAGCCAGAATAGTATAGGCGCAGTGCAATGATGCATCTTCTATGAGTTTATCAAATTATAAATGAAAGTAACTTTCATTCATTATCTATGCAGATGTATAGACGCTCAATTATATTACATTCACTCATATTCGTAGAAAATATTTATTATCAACATATTGGACGCTAACTTGGAATGAATGATATTCAGCTATGAATAAATATTTTGAAACTATCATTACTAATAATGAACCGCATCGTTTGCACTCTTTCTGAATCAGCTCTCATTTACTCATTAACTTGAACGCTCGACAGAGTTGCAAAACGCATACTCAGCAAGGAATGAATAACCAAAATGGATCAATGAGTTAAAAGAAGAGCAAAAAGTTCGAAAATCAACCAGCAAAAACTTTGCATTCTGATTAATAAGTGGCTTCTCAATAAAGCATTCGTACAAATGGTAAAGATGTGTCCTAGTCAACTGATTCATACGGGAAGAAACTGAATTAAGAACTGGACGAGTTGAGCTAAGCTGTGGGATGTGAAACATGTTAAGACAAGTGGAAGAAATGTGAATTTTAAGTCGATTACAACAATCACTTTTCACCTTCAATTCATGATGCAATCACATTGAAGTTTTTTTCTTCAGAAGAAAACGAATTTCAAAGTCTCCCTTCTAACCTGACAACTTTTGAGATTCGTTGAAACTGCTAAGCACTCATCATAAGGCGTTGATGTAACGGTGGCACAAAGTCCAGTTGTCCAAAATAAAATGCCCAACACTGCGCACTGATGATTCAGCAAACTCTTCAACGTCTCCATAAAGCCATTGGTGAACTCAAATCTAAAAAAGAGTTTCAAAACTTTTCAGATACTTGTCCATTTTAGTAGTTCAGACGATGTCAGCGGTACAATTCTCAAGGCGCAAAAATCCTGATCGTCATTTTTTTTGTTGCTCACCAAAATTGATTGCAATTTCCGAGTATTGCAACTTGTTTGAACCGAAAATTTTTAACAAGTTAAGAATTCGGCGAAATTAATGATTTTGCTTTTTTTTCCACAGTTAGACACGATACTATATCCTTAGGGTTCGTCGGTGTTATATCATCGAACTGCAAATTGGCGAATTGCGCAACGATAAAAGAAAAAACAATTGGAACTTCGTTTGTCAAAAGTTTTCATTCGAAAATTATAGTAAGAAAATTCACGAGTGTTTGAGAAGTTTGCTTATGTTACATTTATAGGTCACAAATACATGCATGTATATGAATATGAGGTGTGAGCATTCGTCTCCGAATGATTGATGTTGGCTATGAAATGCTCATTTGGAATGCATGTCTCATGAGCTGGAGCCATTTTATCAACGATTGAGTAAGCTTTAGAGATCTTCTGAAGCGAAATTCCAGTCCAACTCCATGAGCATCGGTTTGAGTTCCTTTCAGAATCTTCGGAATTTTTCTTCTCACATAACTCAGTGAGTATGGGATGACTCAGAAAAGATGAATTTGTGTTGAGTAGTTTTGACCTAGGCAACTACTGTCTTACAGTTCCCTGACAACTCTTTTTACTTCTGTTGTAATCTACGTTTCGAGCAAATCGATTGATTGGCGACAAATTTAAAGTTCTTTTGAGTAAGAAAAAATCTTTAATTTCCACACCCAGAAAAAGTTCCACGAAACTGCTCAGTATGGTTGGACTTTTGTACACCGGAACTCAATACTTTGAGACTTTGAAAGTGTTACACCATTCGACACTATTTGCTCAGCTGTTCCAAATGATATACGTTCGTCATTGCAACGTTTCAGTGTTTGAATATTGAACGAGAAATTAATCTGTCTAATTGACGCGTTATGAATTCGAATGTGAGTGAATGTTTCCGTGTTTTAGGTGGATATCAAATGAGAATGCATAAAATCCAACATATGACGCAAAGTAAATGAAATCTGAAGCTATCGCATTAAAGAGAGTGTCAGTTTTGTGATATAATACATGATACTTAGGCAGTTTTCCTCATTCATACGAATCAAACACACGCAAGAAGTGACCAGATAAGCAACACAAATGGGGAAGTAAACGGGCAATAAATGGTTTGTTCGTTACAAATATCTTGCGCAATTTCCAACCGAAAACGCAAGCGCAAGTTATGTTGAGTTCTCAGTGAGCAACAAATTTAGCATTAGAAAAAAAAATCGAATCAGGTTAAAATTGAAAAAGTGTTTGCGGTTTTATCGGAGATCATTGGAGGGCAGTAAAGGATCATTCACTTGCGTAAATCGTCGACATCTTCTGTTGAATAGTGGTGGCACCGATAAAATAACAACAGTAGTTCCTACTTCTGCTGCTTTAATCAACATTGAAGCAGAGTATAGACGAGAATTTTATTACGGATAGATTTTACGCATTCAAAAATGACTCGCTGATTGCTTAGCCCTACACCCACATGTGACCAATCATGCACAATTATACCGTCAAACAGTTTCTATCGGCCAACAATCGATGGTCAGTTATTTTCGTTCAAGATAATCTCATATCGCCTACCTATGATCTCATATAGCATGAATGATGCAATAGCATAGATATTATACATGTAGTTAAATAAGAATCAGTAAATTATGCTGTCTTTATTTACTTCGTCATACAATAAAGAAGTTCTCATTGATAAATTTTATCAGTAACAAAATGAATACGGATGCAAACAAAAATGGTGACAAATTCAATTGATAATGCATTACTGCATCTTTTTCATCAGTTTTTGAGTTCAAAATGCTCTTCAATAATTTTTTGTTCATCATCAGTATTCCTGCAGAGTTTCAAAGGTATTCATTCATTTCAAAACGAACTTTTACCTGTCCAGCGCAGAAACTGCACTAATCACGAAGCCAATATAGAAAGTTGCATGTACTGGCATCGCAATCCAATTGTAGCCTTCCTCTAGCATGTCCTTCAACAAAATGAATGTACCTCTTTTTTGCTCTGAATAAATCTTTCCCATATTGACGGCCAAAACACCTTTGATAAGGATTTATTTGGTTCTTATTATGAGGTTCTTAGCGTTCAAATGCGCACAAGAATCCAATGAGAAATTTATGCACATATAAATGCTGAGTATGCTTTCAGCTAAGCAGCAATCCCATCAGACTGGCTCTTATACTTGTCTTACTCCAAAACTTGCCTCGAAGCACTTTCAAACGATAAGATTTGCCTCAATTTATGAGCAGAAGTTGAATCACTCAAAACTCATCAGTTAACACTTTTGTTCTTGAGCGCTTTATGTTAATTGGATAGAATCAGCTGATAGAACAAGACTTAATCTTTGCTCCAAGGCTTGACTGAATACGGATTTTGAATCCTTTCCTAATCAGCGTAAGTAACACTGAAAAAGTTTTCAGTGAAAGACGATGATGATAATAATAATAAATAATTGATAATTATGATGATACTACTACTACTAACCATAATAATAATAATAATAATAATAACAATAACAATAATAATAATAATAATAATAATAAAACAAATAAGAAAGAAAATATGCTTGATAGGGATCAAGAAACTTCAGTATAACATTGGAGAAAGCAAACCTTTCGAGCAAGAACGAATGCAAAAACAGCATGTGCAACGGCTAATCCGGAAAGAAATCCTGAAATTTCAGGAAATTGACTAAAAATTTTATCACGAGTTTTATATCACTCATATCGACTTGTTCGTATGATGGACATTTTCCAACAAACTAAAGAGAATGTTTGATGTGCGTCATTTTTGGACGGAAATATTGTCTGGCTGGAATGAAGCGATTACATTCATTCGGGAAACATGGCAAAGAATGAAACTAGAATATGTGATGAACCTTGAGAAATCAGTGAAAGATTATGGAAGAAAGTTTGAACGGTTAACGCTGCGTCGATACACTCGTAAGTACGAGTTTGATGATCGGTGCCGTTTGATCGTTGTTGCATTTCTTCATAACGTTTACGATCCGTTCGACGGAAACTTTCTGCAGATAAACATTTTGCATATTCATTGAAGGAGATTAAACCATTCAGTGAAATCATTCTTGTAAGCAGAAGATATGTTTGAGCATGTGAAGCATCATCCATATCATATATTTACTCTTTTAGTACTTAATCTAAGCGTTGAAAGTGATGGAATTCAATGGTTGATTTGCAAGACATACGGTTGTATTGTACAAAAACATCATGCGATGGTTGACTCAAAATATTTGCATTTGTCTTTTTAGCATTTTCAGCAGTCTGTTGCTGCTGCTGCTGTTGTTGTTGTTGCTGGAGAGCTTTTGATTCGGTGAACGTATTGCTGAAAAATATCATCAAAATTGCTGAAATTCAACAAATTTTCGAAGATACTATTTGTTTTATTTTTAGATTTTATGCAAATGGATGAACGAGTAATAGAGGTTCTCACTCTCACTCACGTGTGCTGCTTTGATAGTCTAGCTTATGCGCCATCAGACTATCATGAAATGTAATCAATCACCTAAGCATGAGAGTCATCCAATCATAATGTGATGATGTTACTTCAGTGTGGAACAAATGTTTTGAGGCGGTTGCAGTGATTTTTTTCACAGTACACTGTATGATAAGTATGCATATATTAACTTCTGAGGGACATTTCACAATGAAACTTTACTGTGAGCATCATCTTAATTAAAATTCACTTTTCAGTTGCGGCATTCTCCGATTGCATTTTGCATTCGTGTGAATGGAAGCTGATTTCTGCGGATGTCGGTTTTCGGGACGTCTGTCAGATAAGCTATCAGATCTCAACTTCCACAGCCCTCTGCCTGGATGAGGTCAACAAAAACGCTAATTCTGAAACGATTTTCTGAAGTCTTCATCGAAACATGCCAGAAAAACATCGCTGTTGAAAAATAAACGGAAAATTGTTCCAGAAATAAAAAAATTCCACGAATGATCGAACTGCAGTAATGATAATTATCCAGAAATTTCAGGAATAGATATTTTCGAAGAATTGCTTCAAAATAAATACTGCTATTTTGAGTATTGAAAGTTGCCTGAACGGTTGACGATTGAATGCGATTGTGAAAATGAATTCAATGATAATGATGATAAAAACAAACATAACAATAATAATAAAAGGAAGAATAACAATAAATTTAAAGAATATTATATCAACAAGAAGTTAAGAAGCGAATTTTGGTATCGATCAAAATCCCATGTGGTGCACATTGACGAGTATTTGGTTACCCTAAGAGCGGACAATTTCCGTATGATGCGCTTTGCTGATGTGGTTACTATGGTTACTCACTGAGGGAGGTCGTAGAGCAGCCAAGAGAAATTAACATCAATTCGATAGTGATCATTCGGAAAGAGTTCAGAAAGAACACAATGAAGAAGGACAATGAGTTCAGAGAAATCATTAATATTGAGTATTGAAAATGATGAATCTTCAAGAAAAAACCGAAAACGATTAATTTGATATATGTGCGCTTTGAACAGTGGGATATTAATGTTCCAAAATTATTCTAATCAAGCATAGAGTTTGGTATCAGAAAAGAACTTGGATGTTGTTGACTGAAAGTTCTTCGTTCATCACTTATGAGTTTATGAAACCGTGCAGCTGATCGCCCTCATCTGTGGACATTTGCTGTACACTAGAGCAACGCTGCTGCGTTATGGGCAACACTAAATGTCGTGATGCTCAATAATCTGCTTCTTGAAAGGTTTCCCTTAATATGTACTCACAAGTGCAATGTCGACTAATTCGGAAGCCAAACATATGTGAGAAATATCGAGACGTGATTGTTTCTCGTAATTGCCGTGATCGTTTCTTGTCTAATCTCGTCTCGTTTATAAAATGCGTGATCCTTTCACGTGTTGTCTTCCTCTTAGAGAAATCAACGAGAGGAAACTAGCGGTAACCAAAACTTACCGAAATACTCTCCACTGAGATCTGTCTTTTTGATTCTTCAATGAATAATAGAGGTTCGAAGCTAAATCCAGAAGAACCGATTTGATCTCAGAAGACGGTTCGAAAAGGAAGATATGGCATAAAAAGATAGATGGGAAGATTGATTTGTGGATCAACAGTTACTTTGCACTGTCTCTTTGAGGGAAGATAAAAAGAAGGACACTCTAATTGAAAAACAAAGCAATATTCAGAGATCTCGTCCTCGTCTCGGATCACGTTTCGTTAAATTCTCGTTAGATCAGTTCCCGATGGAACTTGCACCAACCGATAGACACACAAGCCGATGCCAACAGGAAAAGTTTCAAGCCACCGCAAAAAAAATGTCCAAAGCAGTGGTGTTTCCGTTCCACAGAACTATTCTGTTCTGATCTGTTCCGTCACATTAAAGTGTTCCCGTGCTTAGGATCAGAACGGTTTGAGTAGAAATAAATCACTAGTCCAGGGGATAACTCTCATCATATTTGTTTGTTGAACAAGAATAGAAGTTATTTTTTAGATTGATCACTCGTTGCTCGTATCGTTTGTGATTCAATCAAATCAACTCACTGTTGGCTTGAATAGTCACTAGTGCGCTGCTGTGTACTATTCTCATGTGCTTCAATGCTTATCTCAGTTCAATTGACTCATTCTAATCGCACAAATATAATAAAAATGTGTGTGTTCCAATTCCCCTCCAATCAAAACAGCAAATCAATTGCAACAGAAGTATGCTTCTGTAATTGACTTAAAAGCTGTTGCAAACTTCAGATTCGTTTACAGCAGCAACGTAAGCTGCTCATTTCATTCTTCTTTTGTATTGCAAACTTACAATTCGATTCTTTCTACATGTGCATTGCGTTTGAATTCACGTTTTTGCTCGAATTGTAGCGTCACGTTTAGTGAATAAATAAGAATCTAATTGGAAGTAGTCATAATATTGGCTTGCTATGATGCATTTCGTCATAATTGCAGTAAAGTACGTGAGTGAATGAGTATTTGTGTTCATGTTTTCAATCAATTATTTAATCGTACAGATCATCGTCATAGCGATACCAAGAATGATGATGAATGATCACTTGACTGCTGCTGTGCGGATCGATTCTAGTATATAAAATAAATTGTATGATTAACTTCCAAAAATTTTATTCCATCATCCACAAAACGTATGATAATGCTGTTCACAGATGCCTATACAAACACATTATATGCACACATAAAACAATTTGCATTCAATTCATTCACTGGTATTGCATGATTTGTGGTTGTTTTCGGTGATGAAGTGTGAGCGATGTTGTTAATTTTGATGCGGCGCATACACGAACTTCACCGACATTTATTTTTTGGAATATCTTTGCTATANTTTATTTTAAAATGTACACTCATATAAACTTGCTTCTTCACTGTAATATGTGTAGGAAATACGTCTTTCCTTTCAATCAATGTGTGCTGAAGCAGTCATAGTAGAATCATTGAGAGCGAACAGATTTTCAATAATTCGCTCGTTTGCTCGGTTGGTTTATCACTGGTTTGTTGGATCGCTACAGCTGGCACTCGAAACTGCTGCTACAGGCTGACGATGTTAGTAATGATAATAGCAGGCGGATTCGTTTAATTCTCTATTCTTTCTATTCTTATCGTTTTGTTTCTTTTCGTTTGTTCTGCTCCACAATATATAATAATATAATATCATGTCAAGTAATATGAAAAAATCAAATATTTTCACTGTTCATCAACCAGCGATAATGAAACAGCAAATGAACGATGAAATAAAGAAAAAGACGAGATAGCGAACGATATAACAGTTTCAAAATCTCTGACAAGATCTCACAATGTATCTCAAATGTCGTCGGTTGCTGGCTGAGGGCTTGCCTGGGCTGGCTAGTTAACTGGATAAATGACTGACTGTTGTTTGCTGTGATTGGGATAGGATCAGTCTGAATGATTAGTTGGCTGGATGGACGGGTAGATGAAGGGATGGATATTGTTTAAGCATCACCATCAGAAATAGAAGAAGCATTGGAAGTAGTAGCAGCAATAGTTATGTGATTATTAATATAATTTGTATTGTTATCCACAAATCCACTTCTCTCTCTTTTTCGCTTCCAATCACTTTTCGCTGCTATAACCACAAACACATAAATGTGTTGCCGATGGAATTTAACTGGTCGGTGGAGGTTTACGTAAGTTAGCAGCAGCAACAGCAGCGGCAGTAGCAGCAACAACAGCTAAATCACATCAGTTATTATTGCTTTCTCTTGCTAAGATCGAGTCGAGTTCAAAAGTTCGTTACTTCATACACGTTGCGTAATGCTTAAAACTAAACTTCTGTGTTTCGTTTCATTTCGTTTAATTCATTTCATTTCAAACATCTCTTCTATGTATTAAAGGAAGTCAGTTTGATTTGATTTCATTTGAAAATTGATCAGCGAATATTTTTTTCACTTGATAACGTCTTGCGTTTTATGGGAGTACCTTTCGACATGCGTTTAGTGAGAAATGTGACATTGAAAGTCTAAAATAAAAAAATTTGCATTCACTGTCAATATCACTAAATTGATGTCAGATCAACTGTTGGTTTGGATAGTACACTGGTTGAGTGTCAATATACCTTTCAACGAACATTCGACTCTAATCGTCTTCTCAATCCTGAGCTATTGAATTCACCTTGAATACGTCAAATTTACATTACGTTCCGATATGTGATCTTTTCACGTTCCGATATATGATCGTCACTATATTCGTTATTACGATATTCTGTTGAGTCAAACAAATTTCATCAGACTGCACAAATTAGGTGCCCTGAAAGGTGTCCACTTAGTATGTGGAAGAGTGTCGACGAAAATTTGCTTGATTGGAAAATGTTGACAAATTATGAACTGACTGTAGATGAGTTGGAATTGAAGCTTTGACAATTCAAGTTGCCTGAATCGAGCCGGAGTGGGATGAGTCGAGGATACTTTTAAAGTCTCCTAACTGGAAAAGTATCGACCATAGTTCTCTCATAGTTCTCAACCAGTGCGTTTCTCTTCTCCAGCACCTTTCCGACAAGTTGGATTGAAGGTACTGACCAGGCCCACTTCATCGACACATCACCATCGAATCACTTCAAGCACCTTACACACTTCAGGGCCACTTCATTGCCACTCCTTTACATACCCACTCAACAGTGCACTTCTTCGCTAGCCCACATATTGCGTAATTCGTCACGTAGATAAGTCAGCCGATTAAAATGGTCACTTTGTCTCACTTTCTGCATTCGTTCAGTGCAGCTGCTTCTTTGTTCGTCCAAATGAAAGTCCATCCGTTCATTATCTCTTCTCAGCGTTTATTCTTATTCACACACATTCCTTATCTTTCAACGAAAATTTCTTCGGTTTTCATCTGTTATCTTCATCACCGTTCCTTTCCGAATAAATATCACAGAAAACGATGTATACGTCTTACAAAACGCAACCAACAAATTGAACTGTGCATGTTTCATTTCACCAGCCATCAACCAGCCGATCCATCCGCCCGCCTACTTTTCGAGACAGACCTGTTTCATGCGATCGCAATCAGTTGTTACGCTCAAATGTTCAATTCTTTACGTGAATTGAATTGAATTTTGTGTTGCTCATTTTTTTAAAAATGAAACGTTTTCCCTTCACTGCGTCATATTGCATGACGTACACATTTTAATGTTAAACTGTATATTATTGCGTATTTGTTTGAAATTTTTGAGTGTGGTAGGACAGATTTTTGGTTAGCTAAGAGAAGCTTGAACACTCAGTATCTTTAAGTGGATGTTTGAACTGTAAAACACAGTGTTACTGCTCATCTGAAATTGACTGCCATCATCAAAGAATTGTTTCTTGTCTTTCAACCTTAGAGATGTGTTATGCATATATGTGATTTGCGAATCTGTATTCGGAATTTGACTCGCCTCAGTGTTTCGTTACCGTCTGTCTGTTGATGGATTTCTAAAATTGTCGCGTACATCGGCTCATTTGTTCGTTCGTTTCTTATATCCACAATGCATGATCGACTTCGATAGATCTGTTGAGATTACGTTTTCTTTTGACTTTCAGCAGCTACTTGCTTAGTTGCTTAATAAAGGTGGTGCAAATCGCTCAAGCTGCTCGACCTAACGAAAACGAACCAAACGAGCAAGTGAAAATGGCACAAGCAGAAGTGATCACCGTGCGTATGTCGCGTGGCAATCTCGAAACCTCGTGGGGATTCGAAATTATTCCACCGTTGACGATAAGCAATGTGAATATTGAATAATTTTATCATTTAATTATTTTGCTGCTTCATTATTCAATTACGAATTAGATTGCATTTTGTGTGTACTAAATTTCTCGAATGGATTATCATCTTCAGATGAATCGGAAGATATTTTCACTAGACGAGATACAGAATGAATTCTACAAATGAAACGAATGATCAAACGATGTATCTTTAGTGGCAGTAGTCTCTCAATGAAAAGCACTGACTGCAGCCCATTAACGTAGCTAGCACATTCCAGACTGATGATGATCGTTTTAGAATTTGTCATCGTAGCGCGCTCTGCATTGATAATTAGCAAATTGGGTGATGTTCCATGGAGTGGAACTTTCAGTGTAGGAGGGCGGAAGGGTTGAATATTTTATATCATTATTGGAACTGTGTTTTGTATGCAATGATTTAAGTGAATCACTCTGATTCACTTAAAATATTGCTCGCTTGAAAGAAAATGATTTTATTTTTCTTATATTCGTAGAGCATTCTCATCGGCGTTACTGCCGCGTCATTGCAACACATTGTTTGCAACAATTTTTTGAATTTTGAAATATTCCCATCGTTTTCACTGTTTTGGTTGAATATTTCAGATGTTTTGTCTTAACCACTGACTTTAAGCTCCCATCATTTAAAAGTGCAGCTAAATTTAACATAGCAGAGAAACTTTAGAGCCAATTGTCTTTGAAACTTCATCTTTTGTATGAAGTTCGGGTAAAAAACGTGTGGGAGATAGAAACCGCAATCGCCGATGGAGTATTTTCGGAGACAAGATGAAACTCAGAACTGTGAAGTTGGTTCTGAAGCTCATCTGAAGCAAGCAATCGTCCACCCTTAACTACATCGCCATTCTCTGCGTCGCTTGCTACTCAATCCAAAAAAAGATACTGATTTTCGTGTTGTTAACCAAAGAGCAACTTTTAGGATAGCGAAAGCCATGAAAAAAATCTTAAGAATAGCATGAGCTTTGGTTGAAGCTTGGATGGGTATTTTCACTGGAAATGATTTACATTTTGCTTTATTGCAAGCATAAAACCTTTAACTGCTTAATTATGAGATTTCTTTTATGCAGCAAACTTGTGACGACTGACGAATGAATAGCTAAATATTCATAATATTTGTTCAGTAAACGCCAGCTGTTTTCTTTTTCAACTTCTGACTCGTTGTGCCAATGGAATTGATCAACTGAAAAGAATATATAACTCATTGCTAACTCTCCTACTGAAGCCGAAGGTGCTGTTGTATATTATCGTTATTATGCTCGGTTCTTTCTGCTGCTCAGCATTCAGCTGTATTACTTTACATTGAATTACATATACAGCGAAACACCGGAATAATGTAATGTAAGATTGCATTTATTCAATCAACCATCTGTATGTATCACATAGGTTATGAATAAACGCAGACGGTTTAAAGCAAAACGGTTAATGGATGATGAACCAACGGAAGTAGTCGAGCAGTGGAGAGAAAATCTACGAGAGCAGGGTGAAGATGATGTATTCAAGCGGATTAGTTTCTCAGGAAGATATGAGTGAATTAAGATAGAATGAAGAATATCAAGGAGAAGATGAGTTGAAGCTACTGTTGCAGCCCGCTACGATCTGATATGTTCATTAATGTCAACACTAAAAGTGCACATTTTTTGAGTTGCTTTATTGGAGTTATCTTTATTGTTTAATTATAGTGAATGTGCTGTGAGCTGTTGATCATCGCACTTTACAACAACAAAAAAACAAATTCTCTTTTCATCCACCCATATGTTTTTGGAAAACAAACTTCAGACTCACAACCACAGCAATGATCGTTATACGCTTACTGATGAAGCCTTACAGCACATATCTACATAAATTGTTTCATGTAGTGCTTATGAGCACCGATACTTTTTGTAACAACGTACAACATCGGTCGGTCATTAAACACAGTTGTGCTTGTGCTTACAATTATTTTGGAATTTGCAATTGCTGAACAAGCGAATTCTTGAATGAGTGGATGAACCTATCACCGCCATATAATTGAAACTCAACTCAGCGGTGCAGAACTCATTAAGTTCTCCTTCAGAATTTTGATCATATTATTTCTATGCAAGCTACGGACCGAGTGATTGAATTTGACTAGTTGATGTTATAATTTGCATTGCGAAAAACTAATTTGCATTCAGGTAGTGGAAAAATGAAAGAATAATTACATGTTTAAGTGTGTTTGTATATCTAAAAATATTTATACTGAAGAAAACTATCATTATCTGCCACCAACTAATGCCTCTCTTTCTCCGGATCTCCTCTTGCACACAATAACCGATCAGGGTGACGATGTAAGAAATGACTTATATTTCGAAATATAGTCTTTATCTCACCCTTATCCCACTTCGCCCCAGCTCCCAAAAATACCTCTCAACCTCCTCAAGAGGGTGATACGCAATCTCTCAAAACCATATGATTAAACAAACATCCAAGGGTTTCTTTCGTTCTGTTCCTTCTAATGTCAGTACGCCAATCCTCATAATCAGCTATTTGATGATGGTTCATAATTCCATATTCTCTCCAAAAACATGATCATGCTTCCATTTAACCTTTCAGAGAGAACACCATTCCTTTGTGTACTTCATTCAGCATGAACTATCCAATAGAATGCTATCGTATCGATGCGGAAAAAAAGTTTTGCAGATATTTAATCCAGTTATCTTATAGAAAGTGTCGAAAAAATAATCCAATGAAATGCTGTCGTATAGAAACACAGAAGTGATTATTTATTCAGGTTATTGGTGGCTCGTTGGCCGATCGTGCTGGTCTTCTGAACGGTGACTCGTTGGTTGAGCTTGAAGGACACGAGAATCTTGATTTGACGCTTGCACGTCAACTGCTATCGAAAGCTCAACATAAAATTGAACTTGTTGTGCACAGGCTTGTTCTTCAGTGCATTCAGTAAAACAGCCATTACGTTGTCATTATGACTCTCATGATTGTATTCTTATAAATGACTTGCTTGATGAGTTCAACTTGTTTCAGGTTCAACAGATGAATGATGTTTGTTTGTTTCAGAGCCGGTGGTGAGGTACACCGAATCTGGAAGCCTTCGATAACCGAGAATACGGAGTTCAGTCGTTTTCAGCACACTTCACATGAACAGCACTCGAATGAACAAAACAGTCAAACTTATGCTGCTCGACAGACAGCAACAGCACCCACAAAAACACCAACGAACGTACCGCTCAAAGTATCACTCGAACATCAAAATCAAGTGAGTGAGTGCACAACAATGCGTTCCTTCTTGACGAATGAATGCAAAACTGCACAGTGAATGGAAGGAATCTTTTTTCCTGATCATATCCACAATAATAACAATCTTCCTCTTCTCCTCATTCGATGATTTTGTATCTGTTTCAAATCCATTGCATTCTTATTTATATGATCTTAAACGATCGCTGATCCAAATACGATTTTTCGAAATTCAATGGAACTGTTGAGTAAATGAATCAAGTCGTTTAATAATATAATATGAGATCGACTGATGATAACGTTGACAGATAATCACCCACTGTGCTGACTCATTGAGTGAATTTGATTGAAACTCGTTATGGAATAATGAATTATTATTTATCTACTTATATATCACCGCTATGCGTACGCAGTGGCATTCGTGCCTGGTTGCTGGTACGATGGCATAGCGCGACTCCTTTATATATGCGTTCAGATATCCTCTTATCCGCATCCTTATCATTCCTATCGTTCATTCACCGTCGAATATTCATTCGTCTGCGCTGCAATAGTTGACAGTTGTTAACAGTCGTCTTTGGAATTTCTTTGTTGGCTTCGTGAGTTTGCATATTATCGACAATAGTATAATATATGACCCCTACAGGCTTCGATGAATATTCCGGGCTTTAATGTTGCTGCACAACCGTACGGCTCCAGCCAAGAGGTGAAACATCTTCAGTATAATTCACCAATGCCACTTTATTCACCACAGTCAGCTGCTGAGCAATACCTGCAACAAACCGGTGGTCTTTTCGGTACCGAGTAAGTTCATTCCAATTTATGTTGATTTCACGTATAAATTTTGTCACTTTCTCAGCATTCCGGAATAATCATATTATGGTTATTTATGTGAATGTAAGACTTAAAAGTATTCAGTTGTTATTACTTTATCAATTTTCGTAATAATTTGTCCCTTGATATCGTTCATTAGTGCAAGTTAGCTTAAATTCACTTCGTTTCGTATACCTCAAAACGATTTTATCATCTTAAAATTCTTCTTTTATCCACTCATCATGCAATCATTTTGACTGTAGTGATTCATCCGCCACTAAACAATCTATGCGTTGTTATTCCTCGACCTCGTTCATGTATTCATTACCCAACTGTTAATGGAGATGCATGCGTCTTTCTCGCATTCATATTATTATTATTATTATTATTATTATTATTATTATTACTGTTGTTGTTGCAATCACTTTAATCCACCCCCATCATATTCATATATCAACACGTCTTAGATAGGAATATTATCAACTTATTTATACTACTGTTGATCAGTTGTTGGTGTTGTTGTTGCACGGGTAGTTTGGGGTCAGTGCGATAGTTAGACATATAACAGATTTTTGACAATTTTAATTGACCATTGAAGTGGAATGTTTCCGAGAGATGGCGTTGCATTGAAGCAAATTCAAGAGATAAAGTTGTAAGCTAAGATCATAAAAGCGTTTGAGTTTATGACTCTCATCATCAGCTGTAGAATAACGATCGAATGAAATTAATTGTTAGCCTGTGCAAGTGATCGAAAATCGGTATCTCGTTCGGCATATTATACACTTTCTTTTCGTACCTCGTTGCAAACGGCTTCAAATCAATAAAAATTATTTTTTTAACAATTGAATAGCACCGTGGTGAATAGCTTTTGAGGGTGAACAGAACTGAAATAAAAAATAAGGTTTATGGTAAAAACAACGAACAGATGGGATCAGTATGTACGTGCGCAAATAGCAGTGTACAGCTGATGTCTTTGTTTGTCAACGTGTAATTATTGTCGTTTGAAATGAGTGCGTTCTTGTAACGAACGGAATTTGTTGTATTATAATTATTGATGAAGTCAGGTTAAGCACACTTCAGGTATTAAGCAGTAAGTAAACGAGTTAGATGAACAACCATGTGATAGTGTAAAGAACGTCGCAGATACAGTTTTATTTGACTGGCTGCTTGAGAGCTTAAGTTAGTTCTGATGAATGTTTGAAGAGCAGCCATCTAACAAACAGCAGTTTGAATAACTAACCGAAATTTAGCTTCTCACTTCATTCGTTTTCTCACTCATTTATTGCTTCACCTTGCGTCATTCTTCTTCTTCTTCTTCTTCTTATTATTATTATTGTCATAACTATTGTGTTTCAGTAACAACCGACCGAGTGGTGCCTATAGCACGACATTTCTTTTTTTTCTTCTTGGATTTTCAGTAGCATTTAAATCATCTCTCCAACTTCTCATCCTTCAACTTTGCTCGAATCTTCCTCATGAATCGTTGTTTCTTTCCTGGAACGTTCCTCTTAGCAATGTGTCCCGCAAGCCGTGACTTCTCCAGCTGATTTGACTTGGAGTGATTGATCATTTGGCAATAGAGGTGCCTAAGAAGTTATCCAAGAACTATTGTTTTGTCTTTCTACGTGTCTTCATATTACCGTCAAGTTTCGCATCGTCACTTTGCTTCCCTTTATGTCGGTTGGTTGTTTTTGATATATTGAAATTTTCCAGTATGATTTAGAAATTCACATTGAATTGTTCGCCTTTGACGAATGAGCTTTTCCAATTTGTAATTACATTTTTAAGTGCTAATATTCTGAATTATACATCTGTTGTTGTTCGTGTTGTGGTGTGTATAATTTATGTTGTCATCTTATCCTCTGATAATTGAAAGCAATTTGGAACAAGATGTCAAAATTTGGATTATGCGATATGGGTTTTAGAAAAGGGTCTTTAATATGATAATTTATTACGGATGATTTTTTCAAATACACATCGAAGAGGCCACGTATAGCCCGAATATGTGTTAATTAACACTGTGTTACAATCGTAACCATGTGAGTAATGGTTTCATCAATTTCGGGACAGTAATTATAATGCTAATAGTAGCAGTAATATGCATTAGTGATCATTAATGCAATCTTTCGTAAATTTTATTCTTTTATTCAACATTGTAGCAGCAATCCTGTGCATAGTGATGTTGCGAGTTCGTTGGGTATGGTAGTTAAGAGAAATATTTGTGATCAGTTAATTAGTTTAAAGTCAGCCATTCGAAAATTTCTTCCATATAAATTCGACGATAACGACCAAAACTCATTTATTTGGTAATAAATTGAATGTATGAACTTTTTTTCGTTAAGTTTTTGAGTTCTTATTTTGTTGATCACTAAACTCTCCTTTGAAGGAACTGATGTTTTCGTTGATCTATTCAATCATTTCATTCTTTTAACAAGATCATCTTGTCATGCATTCATAAAATAATGTTCAATTTCTGAAATTCGAATGCATATTTTAAACATCCATTTTGAACGAATAAACCAATAAGTGTGGAAAAAAATTTGCTCAATCTCTTCTGCTGAATTTTTTTAACACTTTCATAATACGAATAATAACAGCAAGGATAACATAAGCGACAACGATACCAGCAATAATATTTCACTGTTTCGAGATGACTCTGTTCACGTTTTGCTTTTGTTTTATTTGCAGTCCGAATATTGGCAAAATGAAAGAACAACCGTCGTATCTACGATCAGAAACTTTGCGTTTAATTCAAGAAAATGAGCAATCAAAAGGTGCATCCGATCAACAACAACCAATTGCACCACAAATGCGTTCTGCTCAAACACCCCACACAAAAATCGGTGGTTGGTCTACTCGAGACATTCGTCTGTTGTGTATTTTACTACAGCAAATAATACTTGATGTGCAGCTAATACTTTCAGCGTCTCATTTTGTTCACGATCACTTTATTCATAATAGCATTGCACACCTCCCATCTTTTTCGCTTTCGGTTTATCATTGACTTTGTGCTTAACCAGTTAGCAATTTCTTCTCGATTTTTCATTGTTATCTTCTCATTTTTGCATTGAAAAAAAAAACTTTTTGTTATAAAAAATTAATTGTTTTATTCAATATGATGATAATCCTTCGTTTGAGATGAGGTTCGCTCAACTATAACAACTACGCAAAATACGTCCGGACCTCCACAATGCTTCCTGTGTGGCCGCAACATTTTGTATGTGTTTTACTCGAACTTTTTGTTGTTTTGTTTGAACGAGAGAAACTTTTCGACTGATCATTATTCCGTACAACTTGAAATTTGTTATTTGAACATTCAAAGTTCAGCATTGAAGTGTTTCACCATGCATCCAACCTTTCTATTCATCTTCCTCACAAACATATGTGATGATTTCATAGAAATTATGAAAAAATTATTATGTAGAAAAAGAGAACATGCAGTAGATCGTGTGTAGGCAAAAAATGGTGCATAAGACAGGTGGACATTCGACAGTTCATGCTAGTGTCTTGTTAAAACCAGGATTACAGCCAAAGCAAGCGTAAATCATCAGATATGAATGAGTTATTTCACACCTTTACAATAACCAAAAGAATTTTAATCGTTCATTTATAAACCGAACAGCTTCAAATGCAAATTCATTCTTTATTCATTATTCCTATAGATGTAACCAATACAAGAAAAAAAATTCACCATGTATTTTCAATGGTTTGTGATTGAATGTTTCATGTTCTACGAGAACAATTAATGATTTGTGACGAAGAACAAAACGCTCATAGCTCGCAGATATTGCTGAAATGCATATTAATAGTTGATGAATGAAATGCCGAATTTTTATAATCGCGTTTGTTTGAATTGCTATCAGATCGAACAGAGTTACGAGATTATGAGCAAGCATTCTCAACGAAAACGGATATTAAGTGATTATACTTTATTATTTCACATCATCATCTTTTCCATTGATCGGCGAGTGAACGAGCCATCAATCGATTATGATGATCCCGATGCTTGATTATCAACTACACAATTGTTGTTGTTATTAAAATGACAAGAATTTGAGATGATATCGCGCTTCAGTCAATCACAGCGTATATGTTATTTGCCAAGCATAATTGTACCACCCTGACGATAACCAGCATTACGTGTTCGTTGAAGAGGACCACGTGTACGACGTTTCAGTTGATCATTTCGAGTAGTGTGCAGCAAATGTAGCATTAGACTGGATAAGCCCGGATTCATTGATACCAGTGTTGAAAGAGAACGTATTTGACGATACAGTGGTGCTTCATAGAGATCTTTAATAACATGAAACAACGATTAGTAAATAAGCCTTCATGTCGCTCATCCAATTCATTGGAACATCAGATTATAAAAAAGATAAGGCTATCGACCGGTTGACATGAAATGACTATTAGAATATCATTAGCACCACGTTCTCTGGTAATTGGATGAAGGCATTTATAATATCATATTAAAATGGATTATCTGTATTTATTATATTACAGTAGTTTACAGTACAGCATCTAACATAGTGTCATTATCGAACTGTTTATAATTTGTCATCCTGATTTTCCTCTATCACTGATGAAAGAAAGGGAAAAACAGCAAATTCGGATTTCACTGTTAGCTAATTGGATGTTATTGTCATTTATGGAGAGGGGTATTTGAAAGCGTTTCTGATCGAATTACTGGAGTTGCGAGATAGATGGATGAATGAATGGATGGGTATATGGAAAAGATTAATGCCAACAACTAACATTCACGAGTATTCATATCCTCTGTTAATGAACCACCGTTGTTAATGTGATCACGCTTCTCCAATGATGACTTTTTAGTGTTGCGGTTGTTGATGGAAAAGTATGCATCACAAAACTGAAACAAAAAGAATTTTAAGCATTTTCCTCATTTCAAAATTTCAGAAAATAACTGATATATGCATTGCATTGCACTAGCAAAAGTGTCAGCGAAGTGAATGCAAATAATAAAGTATGGCTAAAGCAGAAGTACCACCTGAGTTATGCAAGAAGTGATGATTAGAGTGAGAAGTGGTGAATAGAAGAAAATGTTCATTGTCATTTGTTCAAGTTATTATAGAATGCAGTTATTAAAAGCAGTAGCAGTAGAATTATTATTGCAGTTACCTATAATTAATATGGAAAGTTGTTGTTTCATTATGTGATTAATTATATGGCATATCAATTCAATAATGAAACGAAATGATTAGACTAATAGAAGTAGTATTGTTACTTGGACGTCGAGTGGTTGTTTTGTAAATAGCTACGAGCGATCNTACGATTAATTATGCAAAATATTCATGGTAACTAGTTAATTACTCGGTTGTGTTCGGTTGGCCTGCTCGCCTAGCCAGCGGGGTGGCGTAAATTGAGGCTAAAACAATGTGCACGGAAACGTGAGCATTGTGGCCAACAACGTTACAAACGTTTGATAGTCTGGCCAATCCAGGTAATAGAAGTAGTAGGTAAAAAATTATGAATAATAAAAAAGTATGATGATAGCAATAAATTGAAGAGGAGTAATGTGTCGTGCTTTTGATCGTACGCTTCACGCCGAATGCTTTCAATGTGCAACGTGTGGATCATCGTTGAAGAACCAAGGACACCACTTTTTGAATGACAAATTCTATTGTGATATCCATGGTCGTCAGTTGAAGGGGCGGCAACATGATGAAAACTACGGCAATATTCGCTCCACCTCATCAATAACAACAACGTCCAAATCGCTTCATCCACAACACGCTGTGTACAATTTTATCGTTTTATTCATCTTATTGAATGACTTGTATCCGTTAACATTTTTACAGTGATATTGTCCATTTGCACACGGGGATTTATTAATTATTGAATTGATAGTAACAGTAGCAGTCACTCATTGCTGAAGTGATGTTTTTTGCTGGAAATTTTATTTTGGGATTGAATTTTAGTGGTAGTGGTGGAACAATTTCACCAACTGTAATCGATACGAGAAGAAGCCAACAGCAACAACAAGAGAATGTTCGTGCATTCTATCAACCTGAGATCATGTCACGTCGACCACTATCAATCAGTCCACAACCGTGGAAGACTCAAGGCCCGATTAGGTTGGTTGCTACAAGGACAATTCAGCTTTAGTCTCTATGCATTTAATTATTATTCTTACCTTTTTTATTACTCTTCTCGTCAGTGAGCCTTAATTAAGTTATTTCAATTTTTCTTCCGCCATTTGATTAGATGGTTGGGCAAAATTATGACAAGCTGAAAATTATTCAATCATAAGTTCATTAGCGAATTTTGCTCGTTGCTTTATTGCAATTCGTACAGTTAATGATGAAAAAAGAAGAATAGAATTTTGCTATCATACTTTTCATCTGTATTTTTCGTGCTCATTTGAATACTGCTCATTCATTTGTTTTTTCCGAATGTACTTGTATAAATGAGGAGGCCAATCTTACAGAGTGAATTGATTTTGAGGATGAGGTATAATAAGCGAGAAGCGATAGGCAAATGTCTAAATAACTTTCACTTACCAAGAACTACTTAGTGAAATAAATGAATGTCATGGGAATGTGTCAAACATATATGCACATACATACGTGCACATGCAGACGAAGAATTCTTAAGGATTTGAACTGGGATTTTGCTAATAAATGTTGCGGATGAAGCTTCAAGTGAACACAGAATAGAATCACTAAACAAAATGAAAAAAAAGAGAGCTGAATACGTTTTCAAAAGAATAATAAGTGGAACAAAAGGAAGATGTATGAATATGAAATCATCAGCAGCATTATTATCGTTAACCATAACTTGACAATTTCTTGGTACCAGTTGCGTTGAGATAAGAAGAAAATAGGAAGATAAGAATACGTGTTATTTGTTTCTTGTAACCAACCAACAAATGAGTCTTTTTCATCAAATGAACAACGAAATCTGCTGCAGCGATAAAAACATTAAATAATATGATTATCAGTTCTTTCTGTTGTAGATATTTTTGCTTTGCATTATTCATTCTCATTCTTCGTGTGCAGTCAACAGACCAGAATCCATTACCTTGCCATTTGGTACGTCGATCAATCACAGTTATTATCGACCTACAGTATTCTGGATAAGAATTGCTCCGGGGCCAGAGCAGCGCAAAGTAAATTTTGGTGCTGGGACGGAAACTTCTAAAAATCCGGAGATGGAGCTGGAGCCGAAAAATAACAAATCTAGGCGTGGAGTTGGAATCAGAGGCGAAATTTGAAAATTGCGGAAGCGCAGCAGAAATTCTAAAAAATCCGGAGCTGGGGTCAGAGATAGTAGACATGGAATTTCTAAAAATGCAGAGCTGGGGCCGGGACCGGAATTTTAGAACTTCGAAACTAGGGCTGGTGTTGAAGACGAATTTGTTGAGAATGTGGAGTCGACTTTGAGAACTGTGAGGCCGGAGTTGAGTGAGTATGGTGAAATCGAGATAATTTATGACAGATAGGTTCTGAAGATTTGTTTATCTACAATCATTCTTTGACTGCTGTTTGCGTTCGAAACGTTCAATGAAAAATGAGAAAACAAATGCAAACAAATTGAAGCACCATTTTTTGCAGCCCCAGCAATCGCGCTGTGCCAGCATCGGGAATTCGTTACGGTCAAAGTTTAAGAAGTGAATCCTATACGTCGTCAACTACTAAACCGCAGCAGCAGAGTACTGGTGAATGATTTTAATTGGATTTTGTTTTTTACTGCTACTGAAACATCCCAAGAAATTTCAAATATTTCGAATTTTGGTGAATTTCAGTGAGTCGTTAAATTTGTTGTTTCGCAAATTTTCGTGTAAACCCGTTGATTTGTTACGCATTCATTGCTGGTAGCAACCGGCCAAACCAAAGACAACCCCTTAGCATTTTTTTGTGATTTTCATACATTGAAACGCATTATCGCTTGTTTGTTTTTAAAAAAATTGATTGAGAGCCATAACTGAATATTTATGTTACTGTGATTAACTTCGGCGACAATCTGATGACAGCATGCGTTTGATCGTTTGTTGGATTGTTTGTTCGTTTAGCGTACGTGTGCGGGTTGACCGATGATAATGATCTAATCAGCTAATCGTCTCAGTGCCATGTCTGAGTGAATGACTGGGATGATTTGCATAATTGATGATCATCACTTGATCTTTGTTAATTCCTAACTCAGTCGATTGTGTACTCTCTGTGATAGGAAATGATCGTTATCACCACTATTATTACTATCATGAATCATTGTCTTCAATTGCTACTTTCCATTTACATAACAGCCGTTGCCTGTCTTTCGTAAATGCTATCGTAACGTTTGTACGTCCTCGTATGTTTGTTTGCGAGTCGTCGACGCTGACACGGCTTTGGGATGGATCTTTTTGTTGCAACAAGAAAGCAGATGCGGATGATGTTCCACTTTGTGTTGTCCATTAATTTCAGTATTAATCACTCATTTAGTCTATTGTTGGGATTGTTGTTGCTTTCTTCTATCGTAAACCTTGCCATTCATTTGCATTGTCTTTGTGTGGTGTTTAGTTATTGTTTTTCTTTTCGGATGGTGAGTCTGAATGTTTTTTTTTCATAATTGAGAACGAGAGTTTTTTTTAAGTGAATGAATTACTATATGTGATATGATGAGGATAGTGATTCTTCTAAGGGATTCCAGGTTAATGGTGAATGATACTTATCGAGTACTTTTAGTATCCGTATTCATTCGAATCCGAAAATCCATTCACTCACGAGCCTTTAAAGAAATGAATCGATTGATTTTCCACTAGATGATTCGTTGGTTGTTTGCTCATCAGCAGGATGAAAAATGAGACGAACAAGAAAAGAATTCATTGGATTCGAATTTTGAATAGAATTTCATTCACTGTTCGCCTCATTCAACTTTTTTTATTCGACTCTTATCGAAAATTATCTTGCAGTCATAACACCGCTTCGTGGTTACGAATTTGAATAATGAGAATAGGATAAATACTCATACGATTGCTTCCTTTGCACAACTGAGTTGCGTAAAGGAAGCAATCGTATGTGAACATGCAAATTCTTGCTTAAAAACCGCATTGAGCATCTATCTGATCACGTAGTTGGTAGTTATAGGTAGCAAATCAAGTTTCATAATTCGCAATGCAAATAGCAATGATGATGATAACAATAATAATAATAATAATGATAATAAATGCAATAATATGGTCAGATCATAGACTAATGGACAATCAGTCACCATACGCAGTTGTGCAATATGTTCCATTACCGTCACAAATTCGCAGTGTAACCTCACCACGGCAACAGCTCAACAAACACAAATGGCCACCTCCGTCCGTGTTAAGTGTTCAAAAGTTCTGGCCGCTAGATGTGGATGAGCATCGAAATGAAACAGGAGATGGGCAGATAGAACGATTCGATCAGCGAGAAGCGAACGACGATGGAGAGGAAAACAGAGTGATTCATGAAGAGAATATTCAATTTAAGGAGCAGGCCAACGAACAGCGATTTGCTGAAAGCACCGATGTGATTGTTGATGATAATAATGCTGATCAAAGAGTTCATCGTTCAGAAACTCTTCACGGTGCCACTGAGCGTTCGCCACTAAACGATGAGAGCAGTCGTTATCATGCGAAGAAACGATCGTTTGCTGCAGAAGTGAATCTTGATTTGAACGCCATCCAATCGCAACATTTAAATGACGAGATTGATGATGATATTGCCGCGACAATAATTTCCGCTGATGAGTTTGGTGGTCGGCCAAAGCCAACCGTCAGGCATTCCCTTCTTGGTTCGTCCGCTTCAGTTTCGAAATCCACGACCTCATCGGTAACGCTGACTGAACATCTACCTCGTGTCACAATATCAAATTCATTGTCGTTTGGTGGTAACGAAGTGGAACATCTATCAACTGGCGGCGTTATTTGTCAAGAAGGAAACCCTGGCAACAATCACCAACAACAGCAATGCACTGACGCAAATGGTACACTCTCGTCATCTATTGCGAGAGACCCGAGACCGGCACCTAGACTGTCGCGAAAACCGGAAACGGAACTTCCGAGACAGAGTGATGGTGGTAAGAAAAAGGTTTCAGCAAAAGGTTCATTGAATGATGGCACTGATAAAATACTTTGGCATACGATAATTAAAGCAAATGACGAAGGACAAGAGGTGATGAAAACAACAACGATCACAGCACGAAATGAAACCGAGGCAGAAACAACAGCAAATTATCAACGTTCACCATTAGCCAAACAACGTGAAGTAGTTGAAGAGCAAGATCTGTTCACAGCATTGGACGATAAAAACACTGTCAACATCGATATGCCAAGTTGGCGATATGAAGCGTCCAAGTGGAGGAACCAGCACTCAGCTAGTGGTTCTGTTGATGATGCTACTGTTGTTCATGCTGATAAGAATAACAAGCATTCAGAAGATTTCTGGAATGCAAAGCACCAATTCGACATCCAGAGCCATTTCGATAGAGAGCAGTTGAATGAAAGTGATCGAATATGTGGTGCATTGAATATTGACAGTTATGATCGTGCTTGTAATGATGATGATATTAAAAGCGGTAAAGGTGACAAGAAGAAAAGCGTATCAGATGATGACCGTTCATATGGTGTCAGTGATGGGCGAAACAATTATTCTGATACGTTTGAAAAACTGATCACGAGGTCTGGCGACGAAGATGAAGAAGAAGAGGAAGTGGAAATACCAATTATTGACATACATAAAGATAGCTATATTATAACTTCGGCCAAATATCACAAAAGATGTGATCATTCTTCCAGAAGAACAAAGGAACGAAACAGTCGTCGTCAGGTTGGTGATGTAACAAAAAGAGCATTGGCGAGTTCAGGTTCTGTAGAATTAAGTAAAAATTTAACAAATGATTCATTGGAAGCCAGCAGTAAATCATTGTATAGGCGTAATGATTGCCGTGATAATGATGATAAAACTGCTGAGGCGATCGTGGAAAACTCAATACCATTAGCTACAACACCTGTTCAAATGCGTGATGAACAGAACGAGCCAGTGCATTCAACCAAGTACAGTTTGGCGAGACAACGTATTGAAGAAGCTGAGCAACAACGAGATGAGGATTTAATTCAAATTGAGCTATTTCGGCGTAAAAATATCGAGCGACTGACAGAACTCAGTGAGCAGTTAGCAAAATGGCATGACGATTATACTGCCACCACAGAACTTGGCATGGCTTGTCGTTCTTATGACGACGATGCAGTGATTCAATCGGCAAGTTTAAACAATTGTTTAGTTGCTCCTGCGCGCATGGCCTCAGAATGTTTTGATGCTTATGAACAAGCAACTTCAAAAAATCATCAGCAACATGAAGATCAAAACAGAACCAAAAAAGGAGAATGGATAAAGATTGAGGAGGAATTGAGTGAGAAGGTGGATGAAACAAAAGCAGAAGTTGATAAGAGTAAAGCATTGTCGAGAATTCGAGGTTCATCGCTTGAACGTGAAGGTGATGAAAATTCGAGTAGAAAACATGTGCTGAGAAGTAGAAGACGAAGAAGTGATGGTGAAAAGGAGATGCGATTGCTCGATGAGAATGACAAGCGTATTGCGATCGCAAGTATTGAACGTCATCAAAGGCAGTTGCACGAGCAACAACAACAACTATTCGAACTGTTGGATAATGCCATATTTTTTCTCAAAAACCTCGATACAAACACACTACAACAACGATCATTAACACCACAGTCGAGTGATTTCTCTGAACGGTAAGATTCATTTGTTTTCATTGACTATATCAAAGACCGATGAATATTTCAAATCACAGGCCAGATGTACAATATTCGTTTGGTCGATTTATTCCGTGGATGTGACTAGCACATGTTCCTACTCTTGCATTTGAGTAATTTAGTCAACTTTGTTGACATATAATGAAGCTCTCATATTGATTAGATCTGGCCTGTGAGTTGCACATTGCCGACTCATGATATTTGAAAATGTTAAGATAACAACGGATTCCTAACTGATCGAATCATTAACTATTACCTTACATGTGCAACCAATTGAATTCATCAGAAATCAGCGCCAAGCGATAACTGAGTGAATAATGCATACAGTACCTAATAAGAGCGATTGAGATTTGAATGCACCTTAATGACTTCATAAAAATGTTATTTTTTTGGATGAAATATTTTCTCAAGTAACTTATAAAATTCTACGTTTTTAGTCGTTCTTGTGCTGTTCTCATTGCTTTTTCGTTTAATTTCAGTTTTGTTTTTGCTTACTGGAGTAGATTAGTGAATTAGAATTATCAGTTCGTAATCACTCAGTTTTATCATAAAGTGTGAATGATTTGTTGAGTAGTACGGCGCATTTGGATGAAATCAGCACGTCAGTGGCGTCGCCATCAAAACACGCAGCCTTATCAACAGGCCGCATGATCACGCAACAAAAAAATGATGAAGATGAAGGGAAGGACCATAAGGATGACTATTCGGCGGCCGACAGATCTATGTCGGCTGATCAACAGCGACGTATAGGTATTGAGCGATTTCCTGATAGATCAACGGCATCGATTCATAACGAATCAGATCATCATACATCACCCGCATCAACGAGCGATCACCACGCTCATCACTCATATTTGGAGACACCAGCACAAACGATCATGCGTGCGATTAACGAATTTAGCAACAACGAAACACTTCATCAACAACTGCCGTGCAAAACTCATAATTGTGGGTCCTTGTCTTTGTTATGTGTGAATGAAAAATGCATGCTCATAAACGTGTTTTTGTTTCCGTTAATTGTTAGTTGCGTTACCATTTTTTGCACTTAGCACCGAATCACTCACTCGTCAGCTCGATGATCTTTCCTCTTTTGCGATAGTTTAGATGAATGACTTTCTTGTCATCCATTTGTGCCATCTGAAGTACCGTTTCATTTATCCATGATCCTATTTAATCTTCAGTGCTGTATTTCTCTCGTTCTCCTTTGCATTATTAATGTGAAGTTGAAATAATCGTTGGCGTTTGCTTGCTAATGAATTTATCTTTGCATTCAAATAATATCACAATAATGTTACTATGGCACTGTGAAGAGTGTTTCTCTCCAACTGCAATAGATCATGAACGTTTCGTTTCGCCTCTCACGTTGCTGTTACGACTGCATTCGCGTTCTGCTTTTTCATTTCTTGCTAGCCATCGCTTCATATAAAGTTTCAATTTCATCATGTAATATCTTGGCTGCTGTTTGTGAAATACTGAATGCTCTGTATCTACTCACTGCTGTAACTTTTGAAATCTGTTACGGTACCTAATAGACAATCGAACAATGAGCATTGGATCAACATCGCAAAGCGCATATTCTTTTTGTCTTTTTGAAGGTGTTATGCTGAGGATCGAAGATGAGTGGACATTTTCGGATTGGTTGATTTAATGTGTTTGTGCACTGATGCATGTAGACGATTGCTGTTAATATGTGTTAACGTTGAATGCATTTTTAGAGTCCCTTAAGAACAGTTCAAGTGCTACTTCAACTAATGGTTCTAATCGTAACAACGTCAACAACATCAATAGTGATAATAATAATTTCGATCCCAGTAACCATATCGATGAGTTGAAGCGTTTCATACGACCTGGAGGATCAAGTGCTACACGACCGTCGTTCAAATCTTCACTTGGTGCTACACGCAATAACAACTATAATAGTGTGAATGCTACTACTACTAATAATAACAATAGTAGTGATAAAAATACTGCAATCTTTGAAGGTGGTAGTACAAGTAGAAGTAATTATGATAATTCAAATCGTAACAATATGGCTGCATCTGAACGAATCGTTGGAGCACTTCAGAATCTTGATCTACAAAATAACTGTATGCGTGTGTGCTGTTTTTTTTTCAGTATAATTTTTCATTTTAAAAAATATACCCTTCATTTACAGCATTCTCAATTCAAAATTTGACTAACTATCATCCAACAATTTTTCTTACCCCACCAAATTCCTCTGTGATTTGCCGAGTGATTTATTCAGTTGAATCTTTATCCCTCTCCCTGATACCTTCGTTTTTATTTCATTTTTTCCACTCATCCGTCCATTCGTCTACCTATTCGTAGGGATTTTCACATCCGCTACGAAATTTAAAGTGCACAGTATTTTACAATAGTTCGATGGTTTAGCCCGAGTTTCGATGCTGTTTCGATTCATTTTAAACATTTTAGCATCAAGCAATAAGTTTGGAACAACAACAACGACGCAACAGTATCAGCAACGTCAAGGGGATGATTCAGTGAAAGGTCGAGGAACGTTGGAGACACAAGGCAGTCGTATACCATTTTGTGAACATTGCAAACAACAAATTCGGTTCGTTATGTACATTAAGTTATGCCAGAAAAGCAAACCAAAAACAAATTCATCATTTTAAACTTCTTTCTTAATCGCGCCCATTTATTTGTGTTCATCGACCACCATATTTGTTTATCTTCATCGACGATTTAAAAATTCATCGAGCACGAGATTTGAACTCAACCATCAAATTTGTTTGTTTTCATTCGTTCATTCAGTGGCGCATATGTGTTGGCCAATGGTCTAGCCTGGTGCCCGGAGCATTTCGTTTGTGCAAATAAAGCATGCAATAGGAGACTTTTGGATATTGGATTTGTTGAGGACAAAGGCCAGAAGTATTGTGAGAACTGCTTCGAAAATCTTATCGCACCACATTGTGCTAAATGCAATCGACCGATTACGGCGGTACTGTGATCTATTTTTGCTACCATTTTCATCTTACTGAGTTGGATGCTGTGCAGAGGTTCTTAGATGCCACTGACAATTTTTATTGCTGCGATAACGGTGACAATCTCGAATGATCTCTGCTGAATCACACTAACTCTTCAACTATCGCTTTTGAATCTTAGCATTACTCATCTGATGAAGATGTTCCTTAATTGCGATAGAAAAACAATTTTGTCGTGAACTTTGCCTGGAATCAACGGTTGAAGCTATGAAACTCTAGTAAGTTCTAATCGCACAAGAAAACTGTTCCTCGATCATTGAAATATGTAATTTTGATAGTGAAGTTTATTTGAGGACTGCTTGAATGCGCTACAAAAGCAATGGCATCCACAGTGCTTTGTGTGCGCTCATTGTCATAAACCGTTTGGCAATTCAGCGTTCTTCTTGGAGCAAGGACTACCATACTGCGAGACTGGTTCGTATCATTATACTCTCACGAATCTTATATCAGTCATCCTTATATCATGCAATGTTGTAGATCATAAATGATGTATTATTATTAATTGTTGACAGATTGGAATGCTTTATTCACAACAAAATGTGTTTCGTGTCACTACCCGATCGAAGCTGGTGACAGATGGGTAGAAGCACTCGGTTCAGCATTTCACTCGAATTGCTTCAACTGCACGGTATGCTCCTATATATTGTCGAAGATAAAACGAATTATTTTTCTGTCAAAATTGAACACTCGTTGAGATGAAATGGATGATGCATTCGTAGAAGCTCGATGAATACGATCGCCAAAAAAATTTGTGGAAACGCCAAATCTTGAGATACATTAAGTCACCCTCTGGCTATTTTACATAGTAATTGATACATTATCTTTAATGATGTCTTTATAGAGCTGCAATGTGAACTTGGAAGGTGAAAGTTTCTATGCGAAGAATGGTGCACCATATTGTAAACTTCACGCTTAAACAGTGGTGTCAGGTCGCCACATCGAACGATACAAACAAATAATAATTGAAACGCTTTCATAGTTTATTTTAACTGTAATACATTTCGTAATTGTGCTATAATGTGATAAAAGAGCACTTAACTTTTGAATGTAAACACCAACAATGTCATAGTGCAATCAGGTCAGGTCTCAGGTCAGCGTTGCTCATTCAGTTGTCGTGCATTGAATACGGACAAATGATGTGCTTTACCATCCGATTGGAAACCTGAACCTATCGATCAGTCGTAATTTGTAACTGCTTATTCGACGACGTCTCATTAATTGATTTATATTCAGTTCAACAATAATTTGATTTTTTGCTTGCTTTTTATGCGTTCATTTGTCTTCATTCAAAACAAATAGAATGTAAAGCCAGCAACGAAAAGTCAATAGACAACTGCATGAACAAGTGAACAACAAAGCGACCAATAATTTATGGTAGAACGCACTACAAGTTACCAGATTACCACGCATTGAATTCATTGTTAATTATGAAGTTATTCGTTACTCTAATTGTTTTTCTTCTCATTCGCCTCCTCGTAGAAATGTGTGTGCGTGTGTTTTATTCATATCGTTTCTTGAACAAAAATTTTTCGACCGCTTTTTCGCATTCATTTTTATATCAAAGTCTTCTTTTGTTTCGCAATTTGTTTCTTGTTATTCTGCAGCAATTTCATTTATTTTTTCTGACAGGGAAACACCACTGAGGTTGAGAGCGTTGTAATAGTTATCAATTGCACGCATTCGGAAATATGCAAAACTAGATGAAATGGTGCCGAAAAGGATGTGTTTGCAATCGTTTCTTGTCACACATAGCAGTTTTTCTTTCACAGAACTTTTTCTGGCTCTTCATCGTTGAGCGTTTGTGGAGTTGTTCGTTTGTTTTGTATTGATTCTCTTTTTTCTTGGTTTGTTCTGTTTTTTATTTCATTATTTTTTGTCAGTCAGTAAACTATTTCTTGCAGTCAATGAAGCCATATTCATGCATGCGATTTTTTCGAACTAGTTGAAAATTGTCTATGACAACCGTAAAACTGGACAGTCTTGAGCTAGGGTTGAGGTTTAACACTAAGATAACACTTGAGCTTAGGCTCATGCCTGTCCTCAGCCTTATGCTAATACTCAAGCTGAACTCCCACAATGCACATCCATTCGACCCAGTTCCAACTTGAACATTAAGAATTCCAGAGCATGCAACAGGAATGTATTGGTGAATGGATCGATTCGTAAACCAACAACCAGCTACTTGTGTTTTCGTGACATGCTATCGTTGGAGATCGCTGATTGTGTCTCAAAAAAAGAGTACTCTAGGAAGAGTGGATGATATGATACGAGAAGCGTTGGTTATTGTAGCCGATGATGATACTTGTTATGGTTGGGTACTTATGAGCTGTGTTCGTTGTTTGTTGTTGATGGTGATTAGTGCGACTTGAGTTGTGAGTATGAGCATGAATAATACATGATTTGATTTCGAGTAAGTAGTTTATGAAATGACAGATGAGGAAAGCCAAGATGTGTTGGGCTGGATAATTCGCTTGAATTTGATGCTACGATCGCAATAAGTGAGGAGCCAGTGACGATTTAATAAGCAATGCGCTTAAACGAATGACGAACGAACAAGAGAGAAGGCACATGAAGAGTAGAGCTTTCAGCACTGCTTGCCAATTGCGCACATCAAGCATACACAAAATTCCCGTTGAGACCGCCAATCAGCGTTATAAAATAAAATTTGTTGTGTGATCTGATGATGATATGATGAAGCATCAATCCATCCGTGCATCAATTTATCAACTTAACAACTTAAATTAGTTTTATGCATCGTATCTTCTTCAAGCTTCAATTCAAATTTATCAGCACAAGTGAGATGCTTGAAAGCGTACACTCCATATAAGTATCTATATCAACGTTCATTCGGTTATGTAATTTCTTGATGCAGTCTGTCTATTTCCATACCATTATCGAAAACTAAAACAACATTGTGAAAGGAAACACTAAAAGTACGGTTATGTCACCAAATGAAGGATAATTCTTTGCGATGAGTAAGTATAATATCTTAACAGACATTGCGTTCACAGTCAACTTATAATAAAGATTTTTCTGAAATGATTCAAGTCTGTTAATTGATCATTCCGTTCCGTCCAACGATCAGCCATGATATTGAGTTAACTTAATGTAATGGAATAGCTCGTTTATATACTCTATTTCTATTCATGTTGCATAATATATTTACATTCTTCAAAAGCTTTCGGGATCACTGTTCGGATAATACTGCATAACAAATTTTGACTAATCGTTATCGGTTGTGTTTTGAGCTTGCTTGATCTTTAGACCATATTTTACCACGTCTTATCCTACTGCAACACACAATACCATTCAATTGTCGGCTCGTAAAGTGATAAAACTTGATAACATCTTTAATGAATACGATGATAAAAATGCTGCGGTTGATGGGATAAAGGTGTTCATGATGAAATCCAACTGTACTTAAGCTAATGAAAAGAACCTCAGTTGATCTATCGATCAAAATAACTTAAAAACTGATTTGGTCAATTCATGATTTGATTAAAGAATAACGAACGGAAATGCAATTAATGCGAGCGATTTACGGGTGTAACTTTGTGCTAAAGTATTCTAATCGAAACACTTTGCTCAATAAAACAATGAAGGATCAGCTGAATAGCTTTTATCCAAATACAAATCTCTTAATTGATTCTTCTCATTCACTTATCTGCGTATCTCTATTAGGAGTCGGTGAATCAGATTCTTTACATAGCATCATCATCAGCAGTAGCAATAACAGCATCAGCACTGTTACGTTAAACAAACAAACCAGAAACGAAATATCACTCTCATAGTTTCATTCATTTAATTCGAATGGACTATTCATTCGTCGAAGATTGCACCCGACTTCCCTAATGAATATCAATCACTATTATGTTGTTTCGGTGGTGTCATTCAGTCGTATTTTTATTCTGTCAAAATTCTCATTTGATTACCAATTTTATGAATCTTTTATTGAGTTAGCTCATTTATGAGCCGATGCAACTCCTACTCTCTGTTGTGTGTATCGTCATTTAATCATCATTATTTCTTCAGAATGAAATGTTTCCTTCTTTATATGCCAAATATTTCATCTATCATCCTCATTCGTCTCGCTAAACGATTAGATATAATCAGTTCAGAAATTTGCTTGCTGAAGCAACAAGAACGATTATCGAAAAAAAAGAAGAAGCATAAAATGGTATGCGCACTTATGTAGAGCAAATGATCATGAAGCAAAACAGCACTTTGTGAAAATATTTTAATTATCATTTTACAGCAACGATAATAATAGGAAAATTGTGTGTTTGATCAATGATCAGGAACGAATACAAAATATTAACCACTGTTTTCATCTGCATAAGTATTTTTTCAAAATATCACATTATATTACCACCAATCATAATATTGGTATTGCATAAAACAGTTGCTTTAGTAGAAAAAAAAAGCAAGGTGATACTTCTTTGTACAAATAGACGATCATAGTCTATATTCTCATCAACAAATAGAGATTTTCCAAAATGCAAGTTGCATCTGATACTAATGATAACATCAACTGATTCATTTACAAATTACTGACATCAATCTGTTCTTACTGATTATGAAAGAATATTTTGTGAAGCTTGAAACCAGAATTGAAATCAGCACGACCAACTCTACAATATGGAACAAAGCTCGAAATCATGAAGCTTGGCTGAGCTTTGCCAACTACCGTTGTTCGCGGAAGAAATTTCAGTCAACTTTCGTTTCGTTCGTTTGTTGTCACATTATGGTGATCGCTTTGTGGTGAGGTTGCAGGTGGCAGAATCGATGGATCAGTCTTCTGTTCGACTTCATTTTTTTTCCATTTCGTTCGTCGATTTTGAAACCAAATCTTAACCTGAATCCAGGAAAGAAAAAAAATGCACAGACAATATAGTTGGGTGATAACCAAATTATAAACTTGAAAACAGAACTAACAATTCGTATAGTGCAATTTTTCCAGTTATGTAATTTCACTAGTTTTAAGCAGGAAAAGGTTGCTTAATTGGAAATGTATCTTGAGCCATAATCGATCAACGGTACGATTGACGAGCATTTTTACGATGGTAAAGTTTACAGATGGCATAATACGATAGATGCACAACACACCTGTGTTTCTGTGACATTTAGTAGTTTTGCCAGTTCACTTCGTTCAGAGGATGAAAGGTATTTCTTGAGTTCAAACTGCTTCTCGAGTTCAAATATCTGTCGGCCTGAGAAAGTGGTTCGAGCTTTTTTCTTTTTTGCTGGCTTACCGAATTCCAGTCCTGATGCAGTGACGCCGTAATCATTTTCATTGAAATTGAAACGATCAATTGCATCTGTAACAGTCATTCAGCTATGAAGAACGATTATGAAATTGCTGAATCTAACCTGAAAACGAATGCGGCGAATGCTTCGTTATCAGAGAAGAGGAGGTCGTCGATGAGAGAATGTTCTCGATAGAGTACGGTATTGGCTTAGTGGTGGTGGCCACTGTTGTTGCGGGTGTAGTTTGCGACGATGGTGCGACAAAAATTGGTGGCCATATTGGCGCATATTGAAACAATGGAAACAATAAGGATGGAAATGTGGGTAGAAGTGATGATGTTGCTGAGGATGTCAGTTGTTGGGTGGTGATTAGAGGTTGTGGCGATTCGGGTGGTGACGACGAGGACATTTCTGGAATTCAGATGAATGGATGGATGAGGCAAGGGTGGATAGGAAAGATGAACGAATCTAGTGAGATAGTGCTGATGCTAAGAATAAAGAAAATTCAGTTTGTAGGAAAAGTTTTTGAATAGCAGTACAATTTTAGAGCCGATAATAGGTTGACAGCAATAAATACCGTACGATATTAAAAGTTCAGTTTGAAAGAATTAATAATTCAAGAATTGAAAAGCTGCATCTTGCACATTTCCTCATTTATCAGTATCTGCGAGCATTTACTGGAACATTCACTGATCGAATAATTACCGCTGGCAACTGTTCGATGAATAGAAGTTTTTGGCTTCGAATGACAAAGTTAAGGATTGAGTTAAGCTGAGAGTGTCGCAACTCTCAATTTACTCACTTACTTGATCAACGACTGTCTTCTATCAATCCATCCAGCTATCCATTCTGTCCATCCGTCCATTCAACCGTCCAATTTCGTTGAGGAGGGTTGGCTATTGCGAATGCTTAATCACCACCGATTCATGCTTAAATTGCATGATATCCAACCAGTGTCACTGAGCTATATTCGAGTGGATTAGCACTAGTATACTCTTGCTGCTGTTACTACTACTTGCCTTTAAGAGCAGACGGGAAACGCCAATCAACTTAAGGTATTATATTTATACGATATATCTGTAGACTCATCTGTTTGCATTGTCATATCTGTTTGTTTTCATGTGTTTGTGCTTAATTGTTGCGTTGTTTTTGTGATGTTCATTCGATCTCATCATTATTGATGTGGCTGTGATTGAATAAATGCGATTAAGACTCAATGAATGCGTCCTTATGCAGCAGCTCTTTTCACTCCTCATCGAACAGCACAATTCAATTATTTATCTCTCTATTACCTATACATGTCAACAAACAAATGCATTACATACTCAATACCGTAGTATTCTCCCACTTAAATCTGATGTGTAAGGCAACACTCAGTAAGCTCACTTCTTCCTTGCTTCTTTTCATCGTTGCGAATTTGATTGGTTAATGCTGAAACATATATGTGCACAGGCATATGAGCATTCATTTCTCATGCATCCATGAGCAACATTATTACTGAACAGATAAATAAATATATTGCAACAGCAGTAATTATACTTAGGAAGTATCCATTGATCGGAAAATGGATCGAAACGTATCGATTATCGTTTCTTATGATACAGTTATTACGGCCCTTAATTATACTAATGATGAGTGATTATAAAAAAATTAAGCATGGCAATAATGACATTGACCATAGCAAAAATAGAGTTTCGTTTTCCTATCTGCTATAACAATTACAACTATAATGATGACTTATTACTAAATGTTTAATTATTCTGCTATATTGCATGTCTTTTCGGCGTCATTAAGTTATTATTATTGCAATCACATTCAAAGATTTACTCCACAAAATTGTTCATCTATTCTTTGCTCGATGCATTTGTTGTGCCATCAATAATCGACAATCATTTATGAAAGTTTTTACGTAACATTTCACATTGCTACCGCAATTTATGCACCACTATTAATGAATTTAACATTTGCTGGTTATTATCGAAATACATTATTGTGTGCTTCATTAGATGGCCACGGATATCAGACGCAATTCAGCTTAGTTTATTTGATCACAGCAAAATCCCGTCAATTACAGTTGTTGTGATTTTTTCGGATTCCTTTTGCGACCCATTATCTAGCAAAACTGTTGAAGTAGTCTGCTTGATTCAACGTATAGGCAAGCTCCGCTCATCTGCAGTTTGAGTGTAATTAAATTTCAAGCCAACACTGAACTTCAACGTGTCAGTAGTTCAACTTCTCGCCAATGCTACTTTTGGTTGTAGCTCTTCTGCATTATATAT